CATAACCCTTTTAACAGGATTCTGGATCATCAGACTTTTTTTTTCTTTTTTTTTTTTTTTTTCATTTCAGCTTTTGGAAGTAAAGTCTGATGATCCAGAACCCTGTTAAAGGGATTATGGTGAAATAGCTTATTACATGGAATCTTAACGTCGTCTGTAAAATATATATTTTATTCAAATATATATATATATATATATATATATATATATATATATATATATATATTCATACTTTGATTCGACAATGCCAATATAGGTTTTCTTGTTGGTTGAAATAGCTATTCAAATGATATAAATTTGGATTTCTATTCTATGCAATATATATATATATATATATATATATATATATATATATATATATATATATATATATATATATATATATATATATATATAAGCTTGTTTTGCTGTATCAGCGGTCATCAGTATTGCTAAAAATCCGATTGCTTAAAGCCGGGATCGAAACACAGATTCCACCCCTACGCTATCGCCGTACAGCAGGGATAGGGAATCTTCTAATGTATTATATACGTGATGTACATAAACGGAAAATCAGCAGCCAAAGTGCTCAATTCATGTGAAGAGCTGTGCGTTATAAACAGGAGTAGTTACTGTTAAAACTTCTCTCTCACCATAATGCCCAATCGGCGAATGGGAGTATAATCATCCACATTCAAGCCTGTTTCGCTGTATCACAGATATCAACAACATGGTTTAGGAAATTATTATTGATAAATGTTTTATTTTGCTTAATTCTCTATAAAATGTGTCCGAATAGGAATTAATTTTCACACAATTAATCGCGTTTTTTGCAACACTAATTTTATATTTGTGAGGATATGCTCTTTTGTAATTATGTGTAGTTTGCCTGTTATTAGAAGTATTTAGCCAATTCCAGACTTTCTAAGCATGTTGGAAGAGGTGACATTTACAATGGTCAAACTGATACTATAGTACATTACAAGTCAAGCAAGCAAACATTAAATAGAGTATCTTTCTCTATAGTATATATATATATATATATATATATATATATATATATATATATATATATATATATATATATATATATATAAGCGCGTTACTTATTGAAAGTGCTCAATATCATCGATAGAGCTCACATATTCAGGTAAACTGATGATGGAAAAAGCGTCTAACGATCGGATTAGAGTAAAACCCAGGGTCACAAACCCATATCCACCAAAATGAATATATATATATATATATATATATATATATATATATATATATATAATTTTAAGTTATGCTATATTTCTGGCGAAATTTGCCCATTATAAGAAATAGAATGTATATAAATATACACATACTGTGAAGACTGCAGTGAAACATGGAAAAGACTGTTGCGACTTGCAGTTGATTTCACTGTCCACATATATACGTAAATCGTCAATGATGGCACGTCTATGTTACGGTTTATATAATAAATAACTCCGTCACCTCCACCCTCTGGGCGTTCTTTTCTATTTAGCAAATATCTGACATTTAATTGGTTAATCAAGACATACCCCACAAGTATATTTTTAATTCTGACCTTATAATCCCACCACTTTAACTTTTGGAAAAGTGGTAACACTCTGTTTTTAAATTTCACCAGTTACTTAATGTCGCCTGAAGAAGTACAATCATAGTATTGAAACATGAACGCTTTTGTATAGCGATTCACAAAATGTTTTTATTATAATACATATATATATATATATATATATATATATATATATATATATATATATATATATACACACCTTTGTGTAAGTTAATTGAAGCAAAACGAATAATTCCGTTTTTATTTACTTTTTCGTATTTTTTTCCAATGAAACATGACCCAGTGCACATATTAGTACTGCGGATGTCCATTCCACGAAGTCATTCCTTGCACACTGACCACAGATTATGGACTGGATTTAAATCAGGAGAGTTTCTGGGCATATCTATAGTACTTTGATTTGCTCACCGGTAACGCTTGCCAGTGAGTTCGTGCAGCATTACAATTTCGTACGCTTCCTTGGAGTAGTGTCCATCACAAGCAATGTCCGTGTGACAACTAATCGACAGTCGAGATAATAGTGTATGGGCGTGATAAAAATGTGATGCAATCACGGATGACGTAATATTTTCAATGCCAATCTAATTTCATCATGTTTTCATTATATATTTTACAAGCATTTGGGAAGCACAAAATAATCTTTTTTACGTTATTTTAAAAGAACAATTTCCTTTTGATGTCATCTCAAATTCAGATATCGTCACCTATTTTGTGGAAACCATACGGAAGGTCATCTATAAACGATAAATAATCAGCAATTCGAACATATTTAATTCAAGAACATTCTGATGATTTTATAATTACTTAATCAAGAATGAGCATTAATATTCCGAGTGACAAATGTTTTTATATTCTAGACCAGGGGTCAGTAAACTTTAATCTTTCTGCTCATAAATACACCCTTTTGGATTGCAATTGCTGCCATTTACGAGCTGAAATGAGAATGTGATTTTTGTAATGTTTTCTCAGTTATGAAAAATTACCAACACACTAATAATTTTTATTACAGTTTATTAACAGGTTAACTTTTCTGCTCATAAATATGCCCTCTTATAAATACACTTAAATTTCTTCAAAAATGTTTTTTTAATGCTTAAAATATTCATACTCTTACAATTGTTAACAAAAACAAGTTAATGTTCATATTTTTACTTAGAAGTATTATTCTTAAGAATTATCAATTCAAGTTTAATCAACAATTTCACATTAATTGAATGCCACAATTCTTTAGTTTACAACCTTTTATCATATGTCAGGGGTCACCAAACTTTTTTCACAGAGGATCAAATAATGGAGAGAATGAAAAGCGCAGGGTGGATAACCATTTTGTTCAATACAATACACTGAAGGCACAAAAATTAAAGACAACAAACATAGTTATTTACTAAAAAGTTATCTAAGAAGGCAACAATAGCAATAAAATAGTTATATCACACCAAGTGCAGACATATCCGAATCTCACAAACTAAGCAGCACAAAAGATTAGTGGGATTTGTGAAATTGGCATTTACTTTTTAAGATATAATTAATAGTTGTTTTGGTATTTTTCTATTCAACCAAGAAAAATGTTTTCAAATGTTCATCAGTCAACCTCGTTACATGTGCTGACTTTACATACTTCAGATTTTATAAGTTCAGGCAAAATACATTATATAATTCGTTGAAGTCAGTCCTTTTTATATAAGACATTCTTCAAACCGGCTTAAAACACGGTAACGCAAGTTAAAACATAATTTCTACAACAGGCTCATAATCACTTTCCTTAGAAACTTTATTGCAGGTACTTACACAAAAAAAAAGCACTCGGATATCAAAAGTTGCAAAAAGTTGCCGAATTTTTTATTTCACTGATTTTCCTAAAACATTACTGTCCGATGCAAAAATCGGATTGGCCAAATTTTGGTATTTTACTTACATTTTAATTTTTTTCTACATAGTAATTTTAACTACAATCTATTGATAATTGCATATAAATTCCATATAAATAATTATATTTTATCCCATTTGTGTCACAGGGAAGCGGCGGGCCGGATCCTGCCCGTGGGTCATAGTTTGGTGACCCCTGTTCTAGACAATGCATGGAAGTCTTGGGTGAGACAGTTATTATATGAAAAGCGAGCTTCTCCTTTAGCCATTGATTTTACTGCTCATCTCTTTACATTAAAAAAATTTGCGAAATTGACGTTGTGTTAAATTCGTTAAAACTAAAGAAAAATTGTGAATACTTCTTATTTTCTTATTGTAAAATTAAACAAAAATAGATTAATCGGAAACTTGAGACAACGGTAATGTGGTTCCGCTAGGAGCACTTGGATGAAGATGAAGTTATATGGAAAATGGAGAAAAAGGACGCTTATAATTCGTATCAAAAAGAGATATTCCTAGGGTTCATAATGAGAAAAGATTGAAGGAGGATTGGAGAATCTGATACTCACAGGACATACTGAAGGTAAGTGGGCAGAGGGAATCGGCGAGTAACCCAACTAAGAAGTTTGTGTAAATGAATATCAAAGCAGGGAGTAAGGAGAGAACCAAAAGCAGGGTGTAAGGGAGAATCAAAAGGCAAACATTACTAAAACCTACAACGGATAGTATGTTGTATAGAGCCATGATCCCCATGTTCTGAAGGGTCACAACGCATAAGAAACAAGAATAGACAAACAAAATTGGTATGAGGAAGACAAAAAATTAAAATAGGATTAAATATTCGAAATGAATCAAAAGAACGGAATTTTCCAAAGGAATAAAACAAGGTTAAAGCTAAAAAAGAAATATTTTTCATTTTATGTCAGCCCATTCGTCTGATTCGAATAAAGGTGCAGGCTTAAAATTTCATTTTGAATGAACTAGAAACCGTGTTATTTATTCTAAAATCACTCAGAAACGACATATAGCTTCAGATGTCATAAAACAAAATGTCTGCAAGTATTTTATATTTTTTAATGCTTTTACATTTGTTCGTCAGCGATTATAATCGTATGGCTGATTGTTCTGCGGATGTAACTCGAATTCTGTCTATTGTATTAAATTTTGCTGGGTCAGGTCGCTCTAGCGCTTTTGCTACTATGTGAAGAGTGTGACTAGAGTCACCCTGCAGTATAAAATACAAGACCTGTTAAAAGGTGTAGGAAGCTTTTTGTTCAACGGTCATCTAGCACAATTTTCATGGGAGTCTTGGACCCCAACATTTGGGGGGGGGCGGCATTGGCTAAGAGAAGGAGCCTCTATAAAACCTAAGACCCGTGGACTTCAATGTCATCATAGCTTGCTAGGCCATGACAGACTGAATCCGGAGTGTAAAGGGTCGAGCCAGTACAGCGCACACTGCACTCCACCTAAAAAACTCCACTGCGTAGGCCCGAGGAAGACATTCGCGCCCACCAACCATTTCCAATCCCTGTAGCGATGGGAAAGGAGCGAAAACGGCAGGTGGACGATGGCACCGAAAGTCGCAGTCCCAATCCCGCATGCAGGTGGGTCAGGATATTGTTTGACTGATGCTGACCTGCGGGCGACGATATCGTTCGGCAGTACCGTGATTGACCAAGCAGCCTTCTCTAGGGACAGCACTGCTTGTTACATATGGAGAGAGGCCTCGAAAAGTTGGTCTGAACAAAGCTCGTCTCCTACATTAGCTAACGGGCTTCTTTTCGTGCAGTTGAACATCGGTAAAGCAAAGGTTCACACCCAGCTGAAAGGGTATAAAAGGACTACTTATATTAGAACCATAATTCTCACAGCAAACAGTGGTCGACCAGAACGTCGCTCCTTTCTAATTTCCCGTTGATAGGAACGTGGAAATCTAAGAACTGCTAGTGAGGAAGATATCAACATCTGTTGCTGTTGCTTGGAGCAGGGAAAACTGCCATAATGTCCCCGAGATGCAGTCATAATTGCTCTGTACAAGAACAAAGGGAGAAAATCTGACTGTTCCAATTACCGTGGGATTACTCTGCTCTCCATCGCAGGAAAAATCCTTGCAAGGAATCTGCTGAACAGACTGGTAGCCACCATCACTGATAGCACCTTCTAGAGAGTCAGTGCGGATTAAGAACCAACAGGAGCACAATAGATATGGTGTTTGCTCTCCGGTAGCTGCAGGAGAAGTGTCGGGAACAAAACAAGAGGCTGTATGTGACGTTCGTTGATCTGACAAAAACATTCGACACAGTGAGAAGAGGAATGTGGCAGATCATGGAGCGAGTCGGCTATCCTCCAAATTTCCTGAACATGATCATCCAGTTGCATAAGGATCAACGTGGTCAAATTAGACATAACAGTGATCGCTCAGAGTTCTTCTCGATCAACAACGGTGTAAAGCAGGGTTGCGTCCTGACACCGATTCTCTTCACTATCTTCTTCAGCATGATGCTCAGACAAGCCAAGAATGATCTCGATGATGGGGACAGAGTCTACATCAGATACCGTCTCAATGGTGGTCTGTTCAATCTACGACGTTTAAAAGCCCACATGAAGAACCTAAAGAAACTTTTCCGAGACCTCAGTTTTACTGGGCTTGTTACCCACACAGAAGAATTTTTGCAGAGGACTACTTCCTGCTTCACAGAGACTACCCAACGTTTGGGGCTTGAAGTCTACCAGCCTGCCCCTCGGGATAATTACCGCTATCATCGGAAAAGTTTCTCCTGGGTTCTCAAAGAATATGGCACATAAAAAGGAAATATACGTGTGTGACACAACAGATACCTGAAGAAGGATACAAAGATCAGAGCGTGTAGAGTTATCGTGCTCGCCATTCTCCTGTACGGCTCTGTCGTGGGTCAGTTACCGGCACTACCTACGATTCCTCGAACGTTTCTACCAGCGCTACCTCCGCACGATCTTTAACATCCATTGGAGTGGCTTCGTCACCAATATTGAAGTCCTTGAAAAGGCGAAAATCACTAGTATAGAGGGTATACTTCTTAAGTCCCAGCTACGCTGGGCTGGACACGTTTTCAGGATGGAGAATCATCGCCTGCCTAAAATTTTACTTTACAGCGAGCTCTCCACTGGCTATCGTGGCAGAGGTGCACCAAAAAAGTGATTCAAAGATTGCCTGTAAAATCCTGTCACATCGAACATTGCCAATGGTGAAACCTAAGTGAGAACCGTGACGCCTGGAGGGCAGCTCTCAGGGACAAGAAGCGGAGAAGTAAGTGCTATCGAGCCCAAAGCCGGACTTTCAGCTGTAACTTCTGCGACCGTGTATGCCTGTCCCGCACTGGACTTACCAGTCACAAACGTGCCTGCAATCGACATAAACAGACTCCTTCTTGATCTGTGTTGCGAAGCCAAGCCATGATGATGATGATTAAAGTTGACATTTTAACTTTTCGGAATAGGACCAATTTTAAATTGTAATTGGACAGAACTTCTTTTAAATGTTGTGTAATTTCATTTTGGTGATTTGTCACAAATAAAGAGTTTTCTTCCAAAATGTTATCTATCGCTGTGTGATGTGTTAACTTAAAGAAGACGATCGTTCATCAAACCCTGTAGACTGACACTACAAAACGCAGAAGTTTATCAAATATTAAAACCCCCGTCACTTAAAGACTACCAGCAGCAGTAACAGCAAAAGTGAATAGTGCATATAACTAGAAGAGAAAATCATGATATAATCAAAATGTTTATTTTCCACACTACCAAAAACAAAAGATTTGTCAACAAACTCCCATCAATTATCCCAGTTGGTGGGTTTGATGATTCTAATTTCCTTCAAAACTGTTTTCAGAAAAAAAAAGTTTTTATAAATTTCAATCGAAATAAAACTAAATTTTTTGTCAGTGAATGCCGAATGATTCTGCATGGAATCGATTAATTTCAACATTATTATTACCAAACTTGGTGATTCTTGCTATTGTAAGATGAAGCGAAAGAAATAGAATTTCTTCAGAGTTTTCAGTGATAGTGCATAATCACCTTGAATATTCTTCATGACTAAACTACTATGTGAACTAATTATATTTACTAGTTTTAACCCGTGAAAATTTCACAGTTATTTCTTATTTTGAATTTCCTGATGAATCATAATTCTTAAGTTAATGATTGAATAAACTTATGGCGAGTTCCACGACAATAAAATATCAGTAGAAATTCCCATAAGCATCGTTAAATATTGGAGTTTAACAGCTTTAACCAAATATTGTAATAACAATCATAAATATGAAATTCTGGTCGTTATTTAAAGAAGTAAGAGGATACAATGAAAAGATTTGAAATTGGCAACTTTTTTCATTTCACTGAAATAAACGCTAAACACGTCTATCTTTCCTTCTTTCTTTATCTGTCTTCTCAAGATATCAAAATGGAATAGTCCATTATTTATTAGGTATTAGCAGGAGACGTTAAACACATCTATCTTCCCTTCTTTCTTTTTCTATCTTCTCACGCGATCAAAATGGAATAGTCCATTATTTATTAGGTATTAGCAGGAGACGTTAAACACATCTATCTTTCTTTTTCTATCTTCTCACGCGATCAAAATGGAATTCCATTATTTATTAGGTATTAGCAGGAGACGTTAAACACATCTATCTTCCCTTCTTTCTTTTCTATCATCTCACGCGATCAAAATGGAATAGTCCAAATTGGAAGGAGACGTCCATCTATCTTCATTTTCTGTTTTTTCAAAACGGAATTCCAGGTATTAGCAGGAGACGTTAAACACATCTATCTTCCCTTCTTTCTTTTTCTATCTTCTCACGCGATCAAAATGGAATAGTCCATTATTTATTAGGTAAGCAGGAGACGTTAAACACATCTATCATTTTTATCTTCTCACGCGATCAAAATGGAATAGTCCATTATTTATTAGGTATTAGCAGGAGACGTTAAAACATCTATCTTCCCTTCTTTCTTTTTTTCTATCTTTCGATCAAAACGGAATAGTCCATTTCTATTAGGTATTTTTTCTATCTTTCATTTTCTGTTTTCTCACGCCATCAAAACGGAATAGTCCATTATTTATTAGGTATTAGCAGGAGACGCTAAACACATCTATCTTCCCTTCTTTCTTTTTCTATCTTCTCACGCGATCAAAACGGAATAGTCCATTATTTATTAGGTATTAGCAGGAGACGTTAAACACATCTATCTTCCCTTCTTTCTTTTTCTATCATCTCACGCGATCAAAATGGAATAGTCCATTATTTATTAGGTATTAGCAGGAGACGTTAAACACATCTATCTTCCCTTCTTTCTTTTTCTGTCTTCTCACGCGATCAAAATGGAATAGTCCATTATTTATTAGGTATTAGCAGGAGACGTTAAACACATCTATCTTCCCTTCTTTCTTTTTCTATCATCTCACGCGATCAAAATGGAATAGTCCATTATTTAGGAGACGTTAAACACATCTATCTTCCCTTCTTTCTTTTTCTATCTTCTCACGCGATCAAAATGGAATAGTCCATTATTTATTAGGTATTAGCAGGAGACGTTAAACACATCTAGATCGTAGCAGGAGACGTTAAACACATCTATCTTCCCTTCTTTCTTTTTTGTCTTCTCACGCGATCAAAATGGAATAGTCCATTATTTATTAGGTATTAGCAGGACGCTTCTTTTTTCTATCTTCTCACGCGATCAAAATGGAATTAGGTATTAGCAGGAGACGTTCCATTCTTCCCTTCTTTTTTTTTATTAGGATCAAAATGGAATAGTCCATTATTTATTAGGAGCAAGAGACGTTAAACACATCTATCTTCCCTTCTTTCTTTTTCTATCTTCTCACGCGATCAAAATGGAATAGTCCATTATTTATTAGGTATTAGCAGGAGACGTTAAACACATCTATCTTCCCTTCTTTCTTTTTCTGCCATCAAAATGGAATAGTCCATTATTTATTAGGTATTAGCAGGAGACGTTAAACACATCTATCTTCCCTTCTTTCTTTTTCTGTCTTCTCACGCGATCAAAATGGAAAGTGGAATAGTCCATTATTTATTAGATCAAAATGGAATAGTCCATTAGGAGACGTTAAAACATCTATCTTCCCTTCTTTCTTTTCTGTCTCTCACGCGATCAAAATGGAATAGTCCATTATTTATTAGGTATTAGCAGGAGACGTTAAACACATCTATCTTCCCTTCTTTTTTTTTCTATCATCTCACGCGATCAAAATGGAATAGTCCATTATTTATTAGGTATTAGCAGGAGACGTTAAACACATCTATCTTCCATTATTTTTTAGGTATTTTCACGCGATCAAAATGGAATAGTCCATTATTTATTAGGTATTAGCAGGAGACGTTAAACACATCTATCTTCCCTTCTTTCTTTTTCTGTCTTCAAAATGGAATAGTCCATTATTTATTAGGTACGCGCGATCAAAATGGAATAGTCCATTATTTATTAGGTATTAGCAGGAGACGTTAAATCTTTCCTTCTTTTTTTTCTGTCTTCACGCGATCAAAATTGAATAGTCCATTATTTATTAGGTATTAGCAAGACGTTAAACACATCTATCTTTTCTTTCTTTTCTATCTTCTCACGCGATCAAAATGGAATAGTCCATTATTTATTAGGTATTAGCAGGAGAGACGTTAAACACATCTATCTTCCTTTCTTTTTCTATCTTCTCACGCGATCAAAATGGAATAGTCCATTATTTATTAGGTATTAGCAGGAGACGTTAAACACATCTATCTTCCCTTCTTTCTTTTTCTATCTTCTCACGCGATCAAAATGGAATAGTCCATTATTTATTAGGTATTAGCAGGAGACGTTAAACACATCTATCTTCCCTTCTTTCTTTTTCTGTCTTCTCACGCGATCAAAATGGAATAGTCCATTATTTATTAGGTATTAGCAAGAGACGTTAAACACATCTATCTTCCCTTCTTTCTTTTTCTATCTTCTCACGCGATCAAAATGGAATAGTCCATTATTTATTAGGTATTAGCAGGAGACGTTAAACACATCTATCTTCCCTTCTTTCTTTTTCTATCTTCTCACGCGATCAAAACGGAATAGTCCATTATCTATTAGGTATTAGCAGGAGACGCTAAACACATCTATCTTTCATTTTCTGTTTTCTCACGCGATCAAAACGGAATAGTCCATTATTTATGAGGTATTGGTAGAACGTAAGGGTCGTGCAAACTAAGGAAGTAACGAATGTTGGGACAGGCATAATTATTATACGATATTCTTGTATATTTAATGTTCAACAGAATTCATTAATCAGCTCATTTGGATAGCTTACTGAAAATCCGTTTGGGACTAAAGCAAAGACAAAATACATTAATCAGTGAAGACTTTTAGCTGTCTGCCCACTTCGCCCCGGTTGTCATTTGCTTGTAATATAGGCAATAAAAAATATGTAGTTTTGCCTTACCGTGTAAATATCCAGAATCATGTTGGTGCAGCTGTGTGTAGAAGGTTCAATGGATCGCTTTCAAGGAGATAAAAATGCGTTAGAAACCAACGTGTCGAAATCTGATAATGTCTGGCCGACCCAAACGATAAGCCCAGGGATGCGTACCGAATATAGTTTAAGATTCTATAGACTAAAACTGAACGGAAGAGCGAACGTGTGCAGATGTTCAGTGCACTTGACGATTTCTCCATGGGTGAATCATTAGAAAAACCGGAAGACGTTCGAATCACTGATAACTACGTCATCATCTCCGTACATTGGCCGATAGAAGCTGAAGACTTGACAGAGTCTGATCTCTTTTCTATCCAACTTTCGAAGCTGAGAGGAATAGGGCGCTGAGAAAAGACAAGAACCTTACGAATAGACAGCATTGCATCCAGGAAGGCCGATGAATGATGGATGAAGGCATAGGCAAGGAAGACGGGAAGAAAAGAAAAGAGCGAGAAAGTTAAGATTGTAAAAAGTGGTGTGAGTCGGTGAAGGCAGATCAAAAGAAACTTGGGCTTGAACTCGCTTTTGTATGTGCTATGAGCCGGCGATTGCGTGCGTCTAGATTTTGAATTAGGATATAAAAAAAAATCTGCAATGGAAAGGACATCAAAAAGATACTTTTTTTTTTCTTTATTTTCTTTTTTTCTCCTTATCTTCTTCATTCATTCCTCCCGATTCTACCATTTTCCCTTAGTGGTCTCTTTTCTAATACACTCTTAATCACTTTTTCTTTTGTTTATTTTTCTTTACCTGCCTTTCATAGCTTTCTTTGTTTTATTTCTCTTTTTCTACGACAATATTTTCTTTGTTATCATCAAGAGATTTATATTCATTTACATTTATGTTTCAACGCTACTTTCTTCTCCGTCTCTTTTGTCATCGCCATTTTGTTTTTTCCTCTTCAATTTATTCTCTCTTTCATCTATGCGTATTTCACATCTACTTTTTCTTCTTTTATGTTTTCTTTCATTCTTTCGTGTTAGCATATGATTTCATTTTGCCATAAGATTTATTTTTTATTCCCAATACTCGTATTTGAGGTCATTTACTTTGTATATAGCGTATTCCTTTTATGTTTCTTTGTTAATTTTTTTAATTTCTTCCTTATTCTAATCTATTCTCTTTTTCTACTTTTCTTCTGTTTAAAATGTTCCTTTTTTTCTTTTTATCCCGTAGGGACACTATGTATACTGCAGCCACAGAAGAAGTGGTGTTGGGAAATATAGCCTGACGGAACCCAACCCTCTCCAGGCCGGTTTTGAATTCAGAGTTGTCCTTCTCCTAGATCAGTTGCCATCCAAGGCTATAGAAACTAGTCTGTCCTGCTATTTACCCATATCTGGCATGGGGAGAAAAAGAATCATACCTTTCGTAAGGGTATTAGCACGTAAGTGAATGTAATAGATCCGACTGGAATTCGAACTCTGCTTTCTAATTCCTCACCCCCAAGCCGCTATCCATTAACCCACCATGCCTCCTTGCTTAACTTATTTTCCTTTAAAGAAAAAATAGTATCAGTAAAATATTCCATTATGTTTTCATTAAATATTTTTTTGCCATTTTTCTAGTATACTTAATAAATATATATACAATAACGGAAACACACAAATTAGATTTATAAAATCATCATAATAATATAATATAATAATAATATTTTAGTCTAATAATAATTGTTACATTTAGTGCATGAAATATATAACAGTTATTAAAGAACATAAGTATTACTTTAAAAAGTCGTTTGAATTTACTGATGAAATCTAAATTGTGTTACATTTTGTTTTAAATATTTCTATTAACATTGCATTTACCATTGACAGCATCAGTCAGAAAAAAATATCCATATTAACAGATTAATTATCAACGCACATATCTGATCACCCACCGATTTTAATTTCCTTTTGTTAATCAATTCTGATGTCCTACATAATATTTTGTTTATTTACATTAACGAAATAACTGTATTGTTCATTTTTTCTAAGAATCTACAAGCTCAGTTATAAGTCCTCAGCTTTGATTTTATACTAATTCAGGAAATAACAAGATAAATTTTAATCTTATATATTAAGCGTTTCTTTCATATTCACTGCATTGTGTGTGAAAGGGAAGCACTGCTATATAAATAGCTACTGAAAATACACTAACAAAAATGATTTTTTTTTAAGCATTACGCCCCGAGCAAGGCGTAAAGCCACTAGGATGCAGAAGATTTGGAGCGAGAGCTGATAGGAGTGATAGAAGAAAGGAAGAGGAGAGGGATAGTGGATAGATCAAGTTAACTGGAGATGTCGATTGACATTACATTTGAATAGTTGGAGATTGAAGCTCTCAGGGAAACAGCAATTGGGAAGGGTGTTCTACAGGTGAGAGGTGCGAAGTATGAAGCTATTGCAGTAGAAGAAACAGCTATATTTAAAAGTTTCTACAGTGTAAGGGTGGGAGCGGGATGCCAGCCTCGTAGGGCGCTTGAATTCATGGAGTCTGGGAACCAGTTAAAACAGCTCAGCGGAGCAATTACCATGAAAGTATTTGTAGAAAAGACAGAGAAAGACGACGGCGCGTCTGTTGGAGAGTGACGATTTCATAAACTTATGCACACACCACAACAACAAAATAAAACTTGAAATAATTCTGTGTTTCTTCTTTAAAGATATCTACAGGATACAGAAGAATATATTGAGCTGTTAAACTTCTCTAGTTTTCTAATTGTTCGATATATAAACACGAAAAGGAATGCTTACATAATTTACAAAAACAAAAATAAAAAAAATCATGTCTTTAATAAGTCATTAATTTAGAAATATAGCTTAAATATCAAAATTTAGATATTAAGGAGTGAGAGAGGAGTTATGACGATGACAATATGAGGAGCCTTACACAAAATATAGATTTGCAAACAGTTTAAATAATTTCTGCGAATTTCTATTTAAGATGTTTTCATTACTTTTTGCATTGCCATTATTTAAATGTTCTACCTTCTAACATACAGTCAACGACGAAATTATTCATACACCCATCAATTTTGAATATTTTTATTCATTTCTTAGAATCTAATGCTCGTATGATGCTAGATTTTTTAATGTTAAGCACAAAAAAGAAATATAAAACTCAATTTTCAAAACAATAGTTTAAATACAACAAATTTGACAGGCGAATTATGCAAAATAGGAAAAGACAAAATTATTCGTACAGTACAAAATATCGTTTTAAATTGATTGCTTCGTGTAAGTATAAGTAATTTGCATAATTATTTCATCGGAGAAGCCTTCAAGACTATTTATTCAGTAGAATATTTGGGATAATTCCAGCAGAGAAGATCACGTGGTGCATAGTGTCACCATTGTTATTCTTGCATTAACAACACGATGTGGAAGGCAAAGGAGGTTAGTTTTCATTACTTTTTGCATTGCCCTTTATTTAAATGTTTTGTTTAAATGTTTTACCTTCTAACATTGATATTTTAACCTGAATTAATAATAAATCCCTTTAGATTACATAATCAATTTTTATTGCAGACGTAAAAATATTTTTTTATCTTATTAATAAAACTTGTCATCAGAAATAATACCGCAGTTGCGTAATAGTTGCCACATTCAATGTTTGAAATGTGTATGCATATATAACAAGTATTGTGAAAAAAAGGCGACACCTCGGCACAGATCACGAAATAGTGAATTCGTTTGATTAAGCAATATTACTTGGAGGCAATGGATAGCGGCTCGGATTGTGGAATCGGAGAGCGGAGTTCAATTATGAGCTGACAACATGAGTCACAAAAAAATATCCATATTAACACATTAATTATCAGCGCATATATTTGATCATACACCGATTTTAATTTCCTTTTGCTAATAAATTCTGATGTATTTTGTTTATTTACATTTGACAAAATAATTGTATTGTTTTCATTTTTTTACCCTTGTATGAATCCTTCTCTTCTTCTCCCAGGACAAACTGGGTTCTATAGCCTTGGATGGCAACTGGTCTACCGCAGAAAGAAATGGCAACCTACTGCAGGAAAAAATCTGCCTTGTCAGTCATGTCCCGAAAGATACATGATCGCTTAAGCGTGTATCACGCATGGCACATAACTAACCGAGTGATTTTGATTTTCACAAGCTACCACATACATACAGCTTTGCTTAGTAAATGACGTCAGTGTGCCTCATTAGGGTGTAGTTAACAATAAAGTAGACTTTTTATATCACTAGTAGTAGCCTAAAATTTACTTAATAAACTATACGTACTTTTTGACCCACCCAATATAATTGAGGATTTAATTAAGTAAAACAGAATAAAATGTTGTTGAATATTAATGCAAATAATCCATTGTATAAAACTAGACTTTCAAGATATAAATTTAAAAATGAATACAAAATTTAAAATCAGTTTTATAATTTTTAAATAACATTGGTAAGATCTGCGTGCTTCATCATGATGTAATTGTTACCAAACTGAACTTGTAGATCATAAGTGGAAAGTATAAACTTCAATGGGTGCTCCATACTTGTAGCCTTGGACTACAACTAAACTATATTTAGTAAATAACAATATTGGTAGGAATGACTATTCTTTCTTTTTATATTTTAATCAGTTTTCTCGCCAGTTGACAGTCCTACAACAGACCCCATTTGAAGTGGACTGAACGTACTCATTAGGATGTGTACATATAATAAGGGTAAAGATGAAATATAATAATAAACAATTCTAGTAAATAAATAGGGAGGATCCTAGATTATGATATACAGTGTAACCCGGATATAAGAGAGTTGTCTGAACCGGAGAAGAAGTCTCTTATATCCGGGTTTCTCTTATATCCAGGTTTGGTCTATTTTGTTTAGGTAAGTATGGGAACACTTTGGGACCAGAGAAAATTTCTCTTATATCCGAGTTTCTCTTATATCCAGGTCTCTTATATCCGGGTTACACTGTATATGTTGGGATACAATATAAAGTAGTAATGTTTTACAACTCAAGTAAGAGCTACTGTGTTTCGGCATTAATTTTTATTAAATTTCCAAAAATAGATACATTATATTGTTATATTACCTAGTAGTCTCCCTTGATAGAGACTCTTGTGTAAGGAGATTAAATTTCTTAGTTCAATATACTAACCCTTCCTTCTATTCTATGCTACCCTTTAAGCAATAAACATGTGTGTACGTATGTTTGTCATCCTTATCTCGTCTAACCCTAACCCTACCGAACTCAAACACAAAATTAAACATTTTTTTCAGAAGTGGGATTAACTCTAACAGAATTACCACCTAAACAAAATTTCAAAACATGGAAACAAATTCTGACAGAATTCCCCAATGTATTTGATGGGATAGAATATCTACCTTGGGAATATACCATAAACAATACCTGTAATTAAATAGAGAGGACAGACATTAAATAATTATCATGGAATATATATTATTTATAAATGATATTTAAATCTATAGTTAGAAATTTAATTAAGTTACAACTATAACTACAAGTAATGTATTTTATAAAATTAAAATGAATACAAGATTCAAAATCATTTTTAGTGAAATAACTTTTATCACTTTTAAATAATGTATCATTAATATTAACAAGATCTGAGCGCTTCATCATAATGTAGTTGTCAATAAGCTGGACTTGTAGATCATTAGGGGATTCTATACTTGTACAAGACCAAGCTTAGTAAACAAAAATAGTATTGGATAAAAGTAGTATTTACTGGGTCGTGAAAATCAACTCTGAAAAGAAAGATTCAACAAACCCCAGTGACTGGACGATCAGATATATACTAGCAGTAGAGCCCGGCGTTGCCCGGGGTTATAACAGTAAGAAATAGATCAAGTATCGACCATCATAAAGACTGAAAAATAAAATTGACAAAGATTATTGTTTAAGGTTGACGGACACGCATGTCTTAATTAGTTTTTTTTTTGTTTTGTTTTCAATCGTTATGAGTCTACCGATTGAATAGAATTTTATTATAAACAATTGTCTTGTA